AATTTCCCTCGGGATGAATTATCTATCTATCTATCTATCTATCTATCATTGACTCAGCTTGACACAACACACACATTCCTACCATAGGCACCACAATCTGCAATCATGTTGACGTATTTGTCCTTGCTCAGTTCAATGCCTTGGACTGATCATCAGACATTATTCATCGATCATAGACATACAAAAAGGCGTGGTCACGTGTAGAGGAGCAGGTTTTTAAATAGGAGCCATAAGGCATGAGTAGGAAGTCTTTCCTTTCCTCCTCGTTACATCCGTCATAGGGCTCACATCACCTCACAGACATGACTCAGGGAGCATGGGGTGCAGGGCGTGTGTCAACACAGGATCATCATCTGTTTTCTGTTGATGTCTTTCTGCCTAAACGTCTTTGGGTGTTGCAGATTGATGGGTGTGGGGAGGCTGACGTTTTCTTAAATATGAAAACCATATGTGAAAGAAAAATAAAGAACAACAAGAGTTAATTAACTGAACTTGTCAGTTGTTGTTGTTATGCCATGGTTCTATTTGCAAAGTTAACATTGTACCCACCAAAGTTTTTGTGGGCATCCAAAATTGTTTCATCCCTAAAAGTAATTTCTAGATTGCCTGAGCAGTAAGACAAAATACAAGCCGTGATAAAGTATAGTTTTCTTTTAAAACCTCAAGTTAGAGGAGGTCTATGGCTTCATGCTTAGGCTCTATAGTTATACTGTTATCCTTTACACACAGGTCTAAATTTGTTCCTTACTCCTTACTTCCTTACCTTGTTCCATGAAGGGTCTTCATGTGTTTAATAGAAGGTTTTGTGGGTAAAAGAAAACTGGGTGGATTAAAAATGTAAATTCACAGTACTTTCAGTAGGCTACAAGCTAAAACTAAAGGTTGTCTGTGCAGAATTTAAATGTCAGAGGTCCTCACAAAGACACCAAAGTTGTGCATGTGCTTGTTAAATATTGTTCAAACAGGCCTATTGTAAACAGCTTAATCTTTACAAGCCTGACCATGCATGACATTAGTTCCCCACTAAAACAAACACAATTAGAGCAAACAGAAATATTATTCTTCAGCCTGAATGATTGTGATAAATGACTGCAGTCTTAGGCTGTGTGCATGCTCCTCACTCAAAGACCTTACTGTGTATTTCAGTCATTCGTTTCTCAAGAAAGCCTCTTATCTTATCGATGGTTGTTGCATAACTTCTACCAGGATGGTACGAGAAGGAGCACGTCCATGCCTTTTCATGGACACATTCTCAATTCTGAGACGTCATAAAACATCCCTGTCCATGAATTCACCCACTTCAACATGCGGCAATGAAGTTATACATAACCCAGTAAAATAAAACTGCCTGTTTAATCCTGGTGACACCAGTTACACAATGCCCATTGTGGCTTTAATGGATTTATGTTTCCTGATAAAGGATTACATGGCTGAGGCATCAGGGAGCAGCACCTCTTATCAGAGCTGTCTGAACAGTGGCACCAAGTGGTCAGCTTTTGCTACTGCAGAAAGAAATCAGTGTAAAATCTCAACATTTTATAACAGTTTTTAAAGAAAACTTAAGGTCTTTTCCGATTAGATTTTTGAAGATTAAGCCTTTCAACTCTTTGTAAAACTCATACGTATCAGTTAAGGAGAGACAGAAGATGCTATCAGAGAGAATGTACTATAGCAAGCACTCTGAATATGGCAGATCAATACAAGAGGGAGTTTTATGACTGATACAAAAAATCAACAAAAATGTCTGGAAGCTTTATCTTAGCCGAAGTGAGTCAGGGATTCTGGGAAAAGCAGACTTAATGTTGCCAAAATATGATTTACTGCCAGTCATTGCATTCATCCCTGAAGTTCACTTCTCAAACCTCACTGGTGTCTGATTCACCGCCTGGATCTTCTTCCAGCGGTGTGATGATGAGTCGGTCTCCAAATGGAATTGATAAAGATGCTTTTTAGATAAGCAGTAAAATGTTACCACATAACTCTGATGAAGAGCCTATTGACACTGCAAAGGTTAGAAATATATTTGAATAAGATTAACAGAAAAGTAGAGAGCTCTGCGGTGTTGCAAGAGTTGAGAAGAAGAAATCACTGATGAAAAAAATAAAATAAATAAAAAATGGGCTGTGACTTCCAAACTTATTCCTCTCTCATGTATGCAAATCAGCTGGAGTCTAAGCTAGGGTTTGGATCTCATTACAGTGACACTCAGCCAAATCTTTTTATGGGGTGTCAAAAACAATCAGAGCAACCAAAGCAATGGGTTATAGGATTGAAAAGATGGCTGCAGAACCTGTCATCATTTAACAGAACCAAAGCTGATAAATCTGATGGATTTTTTTTCTATTGAATCGTTTGATTTTAATAAAATATCACAAAAAATGACAGGTGGTATTTTTCACAGTCAAATGATCCTAAACCCTAAGTTCTCTAATCGTATGGAGACTATCTTTTCATTTCGTTAAATATTCCATGTACGGGGCTATAGTCTCTTCACTCAGAGAACCATGGTTACACATTGTAACCGTATGTTATATCTGTCCTGTCATTGGGCCTGCAGTTATCAGGGTTTACCCCATTTAGGATAATGAAGTGGGAAATCCTCACAGTTTAGAAAACTTAAAGAAAATAATGTTGAGCTATTTGCCAACAAATTTATAAAAACTATCATCACATAAAAACATTGTTAAAATGTCGACTTATTTATAGTTTCATATTTAAAGTGATGAGTTTTAGTAGGCTATCAAATTGTTGTCGTTTTAGGTTCTCTACTTTTCAGAACTCAAACTTGCATGGCTTTGCTTTCCAAAGACTTTGCACATGAACTTGATAACTTATCTTCCATGAACCAACTTTCTACAATTTGTTGTTAATCTTCTTGATATATACGACCTGCTGACTTCAATCTGTCCACGTTCTGTGAGTCAGAGCAGAGTGACTCCTGTATGACAAATACCTGTTGCATAAGCTCAGAGACAGCGAGCCCGGCTAAACTCTGACACCAGCAGCGACTTTATCCCCCCCCCATCAGCTGCTTCCCCCCCACACACACACACACCCACACACACACGCACACGCACACACACAGGTACAGGCTGTCCTATTGTCATTCAAATGTGTGGCTGCTGATTGAAGCGCTTATCTCTCCTAATCGGAGCGTGTAAAGGTATTACTGCTGAGGGAGAGCGTCACCACACCAACTTTGATATGGAAAATCACATCTGTGAGCTTCCAAACAGCATTATCTACAGAAAGGGAATAAACCAGGTAAAAAAAAAAAAAAGGTCCTTGCACCCCCTGCATCTGTTGTCTTTGATTGGCTCCATGCTTGTTCCCTCTATTTTCATGTCCTCAAAGGCAGAGAGAGTAGGGAGGGGGGGGTGAGGGGGATCAGAAATAAAGAGGCAAACACACACATGTTCTTAAAAGTAAGATTTGTAAGCTTATTATTTTTGTTATCATGATCATTGTTATAACCTCTGTTATGGTTTGTTCAGTTTACAGTTTATTTTCAAGGTCATTTAAAGTCATTCCAGTCGAAGGTAAACATGATTGTAATTGTTGTTTCCAACACTAATAAATGCTTTTTTGTTTTGTTTTGCTAGACAACAGTCGGTCACACTCTCTTAGAAACACAGGAAGAGTTTCACACTCTCTCACTCGTTCAGTCAGACACACACACACACACACACACACACACACACACACTCGTCTACACACTGACACCAGCACACACAGAGACAGACAGCATCTCATGCTATAACTCCTGCACGCAGACATGAAGTGATTAACAGATATGAGCTCTGATTCATACTCTCCCTCTCACACACACACACACACATTCAGACGATAAACACACACACTCTCTTGCTCTCGTGTCTAAGTTCGTAAGTGCAACTTCTTGAAGAGTGATATTTCCCTCTTGAACAGCTCTTCAACCCCCCTCCCCCCCTCCACACCATGACCCAAACAACACAACCCCACCCCCACTGAGAGCCATATATACACCTGGGTTTGTGTACACACTGTCATTATGCAGTGCTTAATGATAGGCTTCTTTGTATAATAAGGTATAATCTCTTATGTCTTGTTTCAAGATTTGATGTGAAAATACTCTATATAACTGACAAAAAAGCCACTTTATCCTGATACTTTATTCATATATAAATGGTTCCCAATCCAAAAGTTATAAGATGGTGAAGCAGACAAAAATAATCTACAGCACAAAAATCTGCTTTATCATTTCAAAGTATCTTCTTTGCAGCTGCGGCGATGTTGGCCTGCGCCCAAGCAACACAGACAACATCAGCAACAACTGCAGGTGCTTCTAACACCACATACCTTCATCTGGTCGATAAGGAAAAAGATGAAAATCTGCAAAATGCCCCTTTAAAATGGTAAAGTAGAGATTTATTTAACCCAAAGTACTTTTTGGAGCTCCAAAAACACTGGATTCAGCGCTGCACACTTGCACTCAGGATGTTTTGTTAGTCAAATTCTACATGAAAACCTGTTGATTGGTTGATTAACTCCAATCCAAAATGCAGTTTTTAGCACAAAAAAAGTCAGCTGTCATGACCGATCCAAAAACGTTTACAAGTCAAATAATCGAGGTAACTCGTAAAGATTTGAGAAAGCTTTCTTCATCCGTCATAATCGCATCTTAAACAGTAAAACGACTGGAGAGTTCTAAAGAGGGTCAAACAAAAAATAAAGAGGGTTGGGAACCACTCATACACATGTTCTGTAAGTGTTGATCGTCATAGAATTTGTAATCTACAAGATAACTGAGCGCTAAGGTTAAAAAAATAATCAGCTGGGTAAAAGCCTCGCAGAGTGAAGCCCAAGTTTACATATGGCTCAACCCACCCGATCTTCACACTTTGAAACTCTCATCTCCCCACTGAAGATGACCAAAAATACACCACAGCAAACTCAACCAAATAGAAATGAAAAACAGAGAAATAAAAACAACCACAAGTAAAACTGAGCTTCAACTTTGTAAAAAAAAAAAAAAAAAAAAAAAATGCTAACATCACATTCCACCTTTGCAAATCTCAACACATTGGAAAATCCATTCTTTGTCCGTGACTGACATTTACAAAAGCACTCTAACGTCTCACATGCCGGTGGGTGAGCGGCTAGAGTTCATCATCATTGTCATTCTCAATATAACCACTTTCACCGTCATCATTGTTATCAGTTACTACAGTAAGCCATGCCTTACAAGAGTCCATCGCTGGCAGGGTAGGGTAACCATAGTGATAAGGTGCTAGTTGCAAATGAAATGCTATTCTGAAGCAACCACTGGTAGCTGTTTGAGTTTTGATTTGCCGGACCTCCCCACCTAAGCACTTGGTTTGTATGTATTACTTTGTTGCTTTAGTTGTGTTTTTATTTTTTTTTATTTTGCATTTTCATACTTATAGATGTACAGTAGGTTGATGTATTTTCAGGCTGTTAGTACCATTTAAAATAGTCTTTTTCTCTCTCAGACACACACACACACGACTCACTCAGGCAGATGTTTCAACCCTCAAGCACACACTAGTACAGAAAATGTTGAACATGTGGCGTCTGATAAATGGGTTTACAGAGATGAGATCTGAGCTTCTTTGCGTGTATCAGTGACTGTCCTTCCTCCTTCCTTTTTGTTGTTGTATTTTCTTCTTTTGGAACAGCCTGCTGTCTGCTGAGAGGAGGACAGTAATGCTCAGTGTATCCATGGCTGCTCTGTAGCCATTGTGTGCTTCGTTAACCTCAGAGATAACAGAGGATTAACTGAGTACTCCAGGGACAGGACAGAGAAGTATCGAAGCAACTTATAGCATCAGCAAACCCTTGCGGTGTCTGAGTTAATGGCACATCTATAGTAAAATCATCCCCCTTCTTCCCCAAATACAATCCATGTTATTGTGCATGAATCATGGTTTAAATGCTCTGTATTCCCCCCCCCCCCCTTCATTTGAGAAGTGATGTTGAAAACAGGATGACAACTAAAACACTTTGATTGGAGTTCCAGGTTGTGATTTTGAACTATCAGCTACTTTGACTAGTCTCCTACATAGGACCAGCGCATAGCTTAAGCCGGAACCTTTTTTTTTTTTTTTTTTTCTCCTTCGCTGGACCGGGACAAGTTCCCAGCCTCAAGATCAACAACATCAACAACAAAAAAAAGGCAATTTAAAGTTCAGTTTTTCTGAAATCTATTGATTCAGTTCATTTGAGTTCAGTTTATGTCTTGTTGCAAAGAGAAACTATGGCAACTAGCCCTAAGGAAGTGTTGCAGCCGACCAGATCCAGGTGAACATCCTTAAATGGTTTTCAATAGGGTGGGATCATTTGATGCTTTTTTCTTCTTCTTCATCTTCTTCTTATTAGGACTTCAGCCCGCCTCTCCTGTTTTAGAAATGCTTTGTGTAGTGAGCATGATTCGACATGCTCAACCTGTGGCCTGTTCAGACACACAAATACAAACACACACAGACACAGACACAGACACAGACACACACACAGTTCACCACACCTGCACCTGTGTGTACCCGCTAACTGCAATTGAACAAAAGTTCATTCTGTGTCACCCAGGGCCTGAAGGTCTTTCTACCCCACCAAACTCACAGTCTATGAACACACACAGACACAGACACAGACAGACACACACACACACACACACATTCACACTGTGATGCTTAGAAACTCTTAGAAAGCTCTTGCCTTCCACTCTATTTGAGGAATCTGTAGCTCCCCCATCCACTCTCCCACCCCCTGATACTGTACACCCTCCCAAGGCTAGTTGGCATGGTGATTCTGATGGGATGGCCGTTGCTAGGAGATGAAGAGAGTGGCCAGAAGGAGCATCGTCACGGTGAGGAGAAGGCGATCCCTGGACGGGCTGCTTCCACTGACACTCTTCTCCACTTTGGGAACGAAAGGGTTATATTCATCTGAAAAAAGAGAAAGGAGGAGAGATGGTGTGTTTATATCCACTTCTGACAGGAATTACACTTGAAAACTTAAGATATATAGCTCAGCTTCTTATTATAGGTAAAAATCACATGTGAGGGAGAGTTGTGCTGGATATCAGCGTGGCTGTGCGTGGCCTCGTGCTGAAGATAATCACATTCATCCTGATATTCAGTTCAACGGCACAACTTATATAAAAGTTTTACAAGAGACATATAGCAGTAAACAATAAGAAACAACAACAGATCATTATTTACTTTTTATTTGTTCATCATGATGCTCTGTCACCACAACTACCTCTGAGTAGCTTGCCAGAGGTCAGATTCTGACTTTCTTAAAATTCATAATTCAAGAAAAACTCAAAATTTCTTCCTAAAACATGAACACTTTTTCAAAGAACCTTAAATTGACACAGGGTACCACATTTTAATAAGGTCTGACTGAAGCACTCTTTTGTTCACCAGTCAACTCAAAAGTTGAATATGTAGCTTCATCCGAGATCAAGAGTTAATTCGAAGGTATGTAAATGTGTGTTTTTGCATCTTGTCGTTTATATTTATGTGGTAAATGGAGCGTCTCTGATGCGCGTTAAATTGAAGACTTTTTCGGACAGAAAAGTCCAAACAAAAAAATCAAACAACATTGAAGATATGCTGGCTTAGAGCAGAGACTGTAAGCTGCTAAGACACTAAGTCTGATGGTAAGCCATTGCAAACCGCTGCAGTTGTTATTACAGAGCTCTCATTGTTCTAATAAAGTGGCACATTCCCAGTCACACAATAACATGCTGTTACACACACATACACTGAGTATACTGTAAATCTGGCTCCGTGCACCTGGCACTGTCCTAAAAATAGATTGCTTCCTTTTGTTGCGAGCTGCACGCTGACTGTTGATGTCTAGTCGATGTTCAAAAAACACAAGCCAGCAGACAGTTCGCTGCATGCCTACACTCATGAGACACACGTGCGTCCAGACACGCCTGCTGTAGTCACTTGATTAATGAGACTGAAGAGCAGACAGAAGCACCATTTTCTGTCTCTCCACAGGACTGATGATGATGATTAGGGAACTATTGTGTTCGTGGCCCGATGGCATGGAAGATATTCTCAGAGTTTCCACTCGGCGTCAGAATATTTCCAGCTGCTCTGCGGGTCAGACAGCAGAGTAATGACTGGCTGACACCTGGTTTGGGAGATGGACTCCTCTGGTATGCTGCGCGGGACAATCTAATGAGGTCCGTGCAGCAGCTAGCGCTCAGGTTAAATGCTTTGACCGCCCTGTAACCGAGCATGCGGCTGTGGGGTCAGAACGCTGATATTTTGGTGCTCACTGCCATAGGAATGTGTTTTGAGACACGAACAGCAGACCGTGGAACATCCTTGCCAAACTGGTTCTCATGTGTGGCTCCACTAATCGCACACACACACACACACACACACACACACACACACACACACACACACACACACACACACACACACACACACACACACACACACACACACACAGCCACTGTCTCACACTGACTAACACAAACAAATGATTATCGGCTCCCACTTTTGGAGCGATGATTGTGCTGGGGGCATGTGACGTACATTATGACCTTCTGACATGTTCCTGAGCCAAACATCAGCTCACACCAGGAAGCTGTGAATATTAGTGTGTATTACGTGTGTGTGTTTGTGTGTGTGTGCGAAGAAGAAGAAGCGCGGGGGGGGCTGAAAAACAGGCAGCTTCTCCCCGATAATTAGAAAGCTCAGACACCTAGAGGCGTCTATGAAATTGAATGTCATGTTGACAAGAACAAGAAGACATCGTCTGATTGTGTTTACGAGAGTATGTGTCTGTGTGTGAGGTTTGTGCGTGCGTGTGTGGGTGAGTGAACATGTTGTGGTTGTGTTTGTCGGTATCTATCAACTGAAGCCATGTTTCTGTCTGAGCTAAATTTAAGCATGGTGGTTTCTGTCATAGTTCTCGGACATGAAATGTATTTTAATTAGATTTTCATGACACTATTTAAAGGGAGCTGAACATTTCGGTCACATGAGGATTTACAGCGTTAATGTGCTGATAACCTTATTTAACGAAGAAGATCCTGGTATGTTATAGAGAAGACCCCTTTGTATAAGTCTGTATGTAATGAAAAAGAATGACATGGTTTGGGAGGGATATGTTTTACGCTTTAAATGACACTGCAGTGAAGTTTTTAACCGAATGATGAATATAATCACAATTTTGTGCAGTTTAGTCTTACTTGTTAAAAATCTTCCAGCTAACATGTCTTTTTAGCATCCCTATCAGGGACAGTCCTAGGGACATCTATAGACAAATACAAACAACAGACCAGCCATAAACCTTTCGTAATCATACCTTGCCACATGTTGACAGCAGTCTGTTTTATGTGCATAAGCTCATGGTTGCAACATTGTGTTTTTAATATCGGTGCACCTGAGCATTCAGCATGCACACCTTGTGTTAATGAACGGTTTCTTGATAATGTTCTCTGATGCCTTTAAAGTTAAACATGATTTGGCACAATGTCAACAATGTTTTGAAGTTCACATTTTGTGTGCATTTATTAGCAGGTACTCAGAGTTCATTTCTATAGTGTCTGTAAAATGGACACAATACTGCAAGGTAGAAACCAAACATGTTCACTTTAAAGTTTATTACCAACATTTTACAACAGACTAAAAAGAAATGCTACAGAAACAGAGATGGTGCTCAGTTTGTGCTCCTCAAAGATACACAATCTAATCTTTCTTGCAAAGTACCACAAACACACTGTCCCTCAGAGATGTGGTAATAGCAACAATAAACGCCATTAAAGAGAAACATTCTGATTCCTCTGCAAATGGCCTGACCTGATCATCAGCTGCGAAAAACCGGAGCCAACAGGGTGGCTAAATGAGTATCCTCCCACTGAAAGTCATCAGTAATCACATGGCTGCATTGGGAGCTGCTCACACCCTTCCATCTGTGTAGTAAATGAGATCTAAATGAAATCTAATACTAGAGGCCGCATTCAGGAGGGAACCACTGTAAAGCTGTGGACACTGATTGAAAGAGGCAGAGCACAGGATGTAAACTATGAGCAGTGGAGGGGGAGAGACGGCCAGGTTTACAACATGAGCCCGCAATATTCAGCCTAGTTAAACATTTTCAGACACATTAATCAGGCAGATTGGTGTGTCTGGGTGGATGTGCTGATGCGAACTGCGAATAACAGGAATTAAAACTAGGAAGTGATGAGTCTGATCGGCAGTCAGGAGCAGAGAACGAGGGAAGGGAATAGGAA